TGTGTTTTTCTTTTTTGTGTGTGTGTGTGTGTATTCGCCTTCCATTGTTCTGTAACTTTGTAATGTAGAATTGAGGTGAGGTTTTTCATCTACATCCGTCCGATGCCTATTAAATTGTGTCATTTCTGGGCTTGAGTTGATTTAAAAATATATAGACTATAAGTGTAGCCGTGAGATGTTCTTTAAAGATGATTATTGTGCGAGCATAACATATTGCACTATGTGATTTGTATTCAGAAAAAAATATTATTCCGCTAAACCTTTCCTCTTATCTGTAGGTTAGGTGCTCACTGACTCATTTTCCCTTTCACTTTCCTTTGCCTTTTCATAAATCATGTCTTGTCATGGGTGATGATGTCTTAGTAGTTCCTGCCCTACATGGAGGTTCATTTTCCTATCATTGCTATGCATTTATTCACATGGGAGTTATCTGAATACAGTAATGTTCCTGTAAATCCCTCTTTATGCTATCCGTCTTCCAACTCCCCCAGGGCAAGGGAACCCCACGTGTACGGATTCGCCATTTGGCATCGTTATGTTCCATTTGCATATCACAGCACATATTCATCATGTGTTCATACATAGTTTTATGATACAACAAGTAATGCTTGACACCGATATCAATGATAGCCGTTAAACTCATATTTTACTGTGAAATATTTTGCTTTGTGCAGAGGCATTCAGCTAATGTCTAACAGATTTTTTAAGACGAGTCGTAGCAAATCATTTACTGGCAGTTAGCGGCGCAGCAGTCTCAGTTAACGGTTCTACAGACAGAACTAGATGACTAAAAGATTGGAAACTGTGTGAGACTCGATCTGGTCAAACATTCGGTCCATCCAAAAGTAATAAGTACACAGAATTGCATAGACTCTAACTATAATATCCCATTGACTTTCTACTAAGTACCCGAAACAAAGCTTATAAATATTTGTTAAAATGTTTGATGCCGTGCACATCAAATATATATTATGTCTTTTGTCTATGATGACTGTGTATTTAAAAATTAGCATTGTATTCCTTAAAGTAATGTTTGTATTGTTTATTTTAGCATTGTGAATGTGTAAACAAATTTAAATACTTTAAAAAAATCATTGTGAATAGACTCTTAAAATTTGGACAACCTCACACTTAAATCTCAATAGACAAGATGTTTAATATTTTTATTGGGTTATTTTGAATATGAAACATTAAAACATTTGGATATATAATATAACTACATATCATACATTGTTCAAATATAATATTCTTATTGTACAGTCAAGCATACCTGTACAATGATTGAGGTATAACAAATGTGTAAGTTTTTTTTTTTTTTTTTTTTTTTTTTTTTTTTTTTTGAGGAAGAATTACACTTTCTTGCACATTCTCTTGAACTTTTATATATATATATATATATATATATATATATATATATGAAGAGTTCAGATGAAAAAGCCTCTAAATGCCATTTGAAATTTTCTTCTTTAATGATGATTTTTTATCAAGCTTATATATTCAAGTTCAGTAATTTCACTTAAATGACAATTAATAGGTAATCCTCATTGCAATTTAACTGAAATAACTGAACTTAAATATACAAGCTTGATAAAAATGATCATTCTAAAAGAAAATTTCAAATGGCACTTAGAGGCTTTTGCATCTGAACTCTTCATATATATATATATATATATATATATATATATATATATTCTGCAATCTTTCCAAAAAGAAGACATTTTGAACATTGTTGGTAACCAAGGTTTGGAACAATAATGAGAGTCTGTAACATTTTTATTTATTTATTTATTTATTTATTTATTTATTTATTTATTTATTTATTTATTTGTTTATTTATTTATTTATTTATTTTATTTTATTTTTCTGGTGAACTATCCCTTAACTGATAATAACTTTCCATTTTCCCCTCAATAAGATATTCATAAATGCAGCTCCATACTGGATTTTTAGATTTTTTTAGAAAGCTTCTTGTGCACAACATGGATTGGAAGATCCGAGATAGTGAACTATCCCAGACCCTATTTGACTGAGACTGTGGTGATGGTGCATACAAATAAAGGCCAATAAAGTGCTTCATATGTAGAAATAAGATAATAACACAGGCAGTCTCACCTTCATAAACAAATATGTATCCTTTGCAATGACCTAATTGAAACAAATGCCTGCAATTGTCCTTCAGTGTAATGGTGAAATCGAGACAATTACTGAAAGCATGGTTGTGACCATGAAGGAGGTATTTATTAAATATGGTAGCGAAAAGGATGAGGGAATTAGTTTAGCCGGTTTTGTGAGGTTAGGTGCTAGTTCACATTTTTAGGGTGTTTATTTTTCTCTGATGATTTACATGTTTCTGATTAGCTGATAGTGTCATCAGGTGTGGATGGTTTCCTTTCACCCATCCATTGGCCATGTGCTTTTACTTTGCCGCTGTCCACAATGATAAATGGTGTGTCGTACGAGTGCTGGAGAGATGCTGATAGAGAGTCTGTTAGATGGAAACACGTCCAACCCTCTTTTAACATCAAGATATGAATCTTTTATATATGGTGCAAGAACCCTTTAAAAGGTGCTTTAAACTGACATTATCTACAAGTCTATATAGCACACATATATAGTGCAATTTTTATGCTGTCTGTTGCAGGTCTCAGAGGCTTGAGTTTTAGGGGTTTTTTTAGAGAGGAAAGGCAGCCTCTTAAAGGGTTAGTTCACCCAGAAATTAAAATGATGTCATGACTCAGCCTCATGTCGTTCCAAGCCCGTAATACCTCCGTTCATCTTCGGAACACAGTTTAAGATATTTTAGATTTATTCAGAGCTTTCTGTCCCTCCATTGAAAATGTACGTACGATATACTGTCCTTGTCCAAAAAGGAAATAAAGAAGTAGTCCATGTAACATCAGTGGGTTAGTTAGAATGTTTTGAAGCATCGAAAATACATTTTTGGTCAAAAAATAACAAAAACTACGACTTTCAGCATTTTATTCTCTTCAGGTTCTGTTGTCAATCCGCGTCCAGTGACGCTCGTGATGTAAGATGCTGCTGATAGAGGAAGCGCGGGCGGTAATACACTCACTCTGTGTGTTCGGGTTGAGGGAGAATAAAACGATTCGCAGGACTCCCGCAAACTAGAAATACCTATAAATAACACATAAAAAAATACTATATTTTTATTCATCTGTTGCAGAAAAGCAACAAGAACAACTAAAACAAAATTTAAATGACTTACAGGCCAGAGTTTCTATTTATAACATGTTTGCAGCATTGAGCGATGTAGCCAATCACAGATATGTATTGATTTCTAGAAACGTAATGGCCAATCAGAAGCACTTGCGTACTACATTTACATTTGCACCAATAATTGAGACGTTTCGTTGCAATACAGAAGCACAGTGCAGCACAGTTTCCTTGTAAATAATTTCAGAGATAATTTGTTTCATAATAAAAAATATTTTCATCCATTTTGTTCGGTTAGTTCTGCTGGTTGTTGACGTCATACAGAAAGAATGTTGTGACAGTTGGTCAGTGTGGTATTAGCCCTGCCTCTCCTCCACTGTGATTGGAGGGCTGGGTAAAAAGTGACAGTGATGAGTGCTGCGTTTTACCCAAAGTTAAACATTTTTCAACTCTCTTCGACCAGTAAAAAAGGCCGGGCGCTTGGGGCTTCAGCGTTAAAAAAAATGTTCAGCTCCTTTTTACGCTCATTTGGTCTCATTCATGAAACACGAGCAGAGCAAATTTTTGTGTAAATCGTGTGTAAAGTGGTTCTGGCGTAAATTTTCGGATTCATTACAATGTTCGTATTTTCCAAATGTTAGTTGGTACGCAAGAAATCTACACCTGCTCCCAGCCACACGTAAATTGTGCGCTTAACATCCGAACGTTTTGCTCATTAATAAGGCTGTGTTTTAATTCACATTAATCGGGTACATATTTAAACAGCATTTTGAAAAAAAAAAATATTTTTTTATATAGGAATTACATACGGTTTTTCTTTTTAATTTTCTATTATGAGAGCCAGTAATAGCAGGTGATCTGGTGATCGATGGTGGTCCTTCTCCAGTTTGAATACGATTTTTCCGAAGTGAACTAATTTGTTGTTTTGCTGTCAAACTTAATGTCGAACCATTTTCTTCTCACTTCTGGGACTCTTCGATTAACATATGAAACTCCATTAACTGCATTTGTAAAATGCTGCCAAGCTTCCTTTTTTTAGGACTTGATAGGCCATTATGTACGCTTGAAAATAAAATTGGCGTTTTGAATGAACTTTTGATAATAAAACTTCAATTATTGCTTCCGAGAATTCTTTGTTTTTCATTCGCAGTCATGGTATTATATGCCTATGTAACTGGTGAAAATTAACCTTTGACTTGTTTTTTTATTGTATTATTTTTTTTCTGTATTTTACTGTTTAAGTTTTCCTATTTTTGTATTTAGAATGGCTTAATGAACCTCACAAAATTTTGTTCACATTTTCTTGTTCATGAGTAAGAGAACATAACGTTAAAATAGCGGAACTTTTCTCTGAGTGTTTGTTTGGGGAGGGAGCGTCATCGGTGGAACACTTCCGGGGTTTTTCCTCGTGCGGTCTGTAATGGGCTCTATGCACGGCGTTATTTCCGGTGAAGGATTAAGGATGCTCGATAACTTCCGCCGATCATAGAGTCCAATTCAATACCGAGAATTTATATTGAATTTTATACTCCATGGTTATACTAATGAAACGTTAGTCACAAAAACAGATAAAACAGACACCCCTCGTTGTGTTTATGCTTCTTTTTAAAATTTTATTAAATAAACATAACTATATATAAAATTACATCTAAACGTATGTACGTTTCATTTCAAAGACGGAAGGACAGTAAATATTGAAGACTCTGATATAATCCCGTTTTCTCCGGTTTTCCTCCGCTTTAATCTACACAACCGGAAATGGACGAGCATCCTTACGTCAAATGCGGAACTTATGCGTGCATATAGCCCATAGCCTCACCTGTTCGCGAGGCTCGTGAGCGCACGCAATGTTGCTTCTCTCCATGAATGTTACTGGTATGATGATGTTTATTGTTTGAAGGCATAATTATTGCTCAATAATTGTGATTTGAGTGTGCTTAATCATTTGAGTGTGTTACTCGTGATGAATGTGTGTAGTAGTACGAGTTTATAAAACTCATCATGGTGCTAACTGATTAGTATCTTATGCACAGTGTTACACGAGAGAGAGAGAGAAGCTGAAGCCCCGTTGATCCACTGATGATCTCTCTGTTTACAGATTAAAAAGGAAAAACATTGGATCTCATCGCTGTGTGGTCATTTGCACTGAAAAAAGTGTCTCATTAGATCAAAGTAAAAAAATTGCGTCAACTGGTTACATCTAATTGATTTACTTTCTATCAACTTAAAATTTTTACTTTGAAGAGAATTAACCATCCATTACTTAGCTAAAGTAAAAATTAATCTTTGAATCAAATAAAGTTTTTAAGTTGAATGAAATATCAAATTATACTTTGTCTTAATGTTTTCTTAAGTTGTATTGACTTAATTATTGTACTTTACATATCTAACCAAATATCCAAAAAAATACAATTTAAAATATTAATGTATTATAAAGAAATTTATTTACTTTCAGAATGTGTAATTTTATCATTTAAGAAAAATGACTTCAAGCATCAAACTTTTGACAATTTATTTTGTCATAACTTTTTCTTTTACGTGTACAGTATCCTCATACACAATGTCTAACAATGTAAACATCAAACTTCAGCAGAAAATTGTAGCTGGGTCAAAGGAAACAAATTTACCCCTGCAGCTTTGAAGAGAGGTTCTGCACCCTTCGGCTCATCTGCTTACTCTCTATGTCCATGATTATTATCTGAAAGGCCTCAAAAGTATATTTGAGTCCTTCAGGATATTTTAGGTTCAGTGCATAAACGAGTCCAAACATCATGGCACAGGCACAGGCAACAGTGGGCAACTCCTTCAGTACTTCCACACCTTCAATGGCAATGGAAATGTCCAGCACACGACTAAGAGCATCACTTTCACGGATCACAAAAAATGCCATAGTGGTCTTTTCAAATTCTCTCTCCGCTTCCTCCCTCTGGTCATCCTAAAAACATACAAAAACAGAGAGCAATTGAGGGACTGTGGAAGAAGAAAAACCCCCCAGCCCCAAAATTTAGTTAGCTGTACTACTAAGGTCAATGTAGAGCCCAAACATCTGTTGTTAACTTTAATTAAAATATCTTCAATAAAATTTGTAGGGTTTATTACAAGAGTAGAGTAAGTGATGACAATTTTCATTTTTGGGTGACGATGTACTTTTACACTCTCTTTAGCTTTGAAAATGCTTTTAAACACTTTCAAAGGCTCCCAGTTGCTGACCATTGTAGACAATCACAGACATATTTGTTGAGTGCAGTACCACAATGGCCAATCAGAGGCATTTATCAATCCACTCAACAGTGTTCAAAATGCATTTTGGGGTGAACCAACCCCTATTAAAGGAGTAATTCAAGGGATGGGCAACGATTTATCGCGATTAATCGTTAGCAAAATAAAAGTTTGTGTTTACATAATATATGTGTGTGTAGTGTGTATAATTAATTTGTATATATAAATACCCACACATGCATGTATATATTTAAGAAAAATGTGTTAACATATATTTATTAACAATTACAAATATTACAACAAATATTAACAACAAATATTTATATTTATATATAATATTAATTATGTATAAATATATATAAAGTATATACATGCAAATATTTCTTAAATATATACATGCATGTGTGTGTGTGTATTTATATATACAAATTAATTATACACACTACATACACATATATTATGTAAACACAAACTTTTATTTTGCTAACAATTAATCGCGATTAATCGTTGCCCATCCCTAAGTAATTCAAAATAAAAATTCTGTCATCGTTTAAATTTCTCTTGTCATTTCAAACCAGTATGAATTACTGTACTCTGCAGAATTTTGAACAGCGTTGGTGACAGAACAGCACAGCCCCCATTCACTGTTATTGTATGGACACAAAACCAATCCAAGTGAATGGGGGGCTCTTAAAGGATTAGTCCACTTAAAAAAAACCTTTTGCTGATAATTTACTCACCCCCATGTCATCCAAGATGTCCATGTCTTTCTTTCTTCAGTCGAAAAGAAATTAAGGTTTTTGATGAAAACATTACAGGATTTTCTCCATATAATGGACTTCAATGGGAACCAAACGGTTCAAGGTCCAAATGACAGTTTCAGTGCAAACTGTTCAAAGGGCTTTAAACGACACCAGACGATGAATAAGGGTCTTATCTAGCAAAACAATCGGGCATTTAAAAAATAATAAGTTTTATAAGCACAAATGCTCGCCTTGCTCTGTTCTGTGATGCATGTTCGTTTCAACATAATTGTGTATTACGTGACGTCACGAACGCGTATCACAGAACAGAAAATTGAAACTCATTTGGACCTTGAACCATTTGGGGTTTATTGAAGTCCATTATATGGAGAAAAATCCTGGAATGTTTTCATCAAAAACCTTAATTTCTTTTCGACTGAAGAAAGAAAGACATGGACATCTTGGATGACATGGGGGTGAGGAAATTATCAGCAAAACTTTTTTTTAAAGTGAACTACTCCTTCTTCAAAATACATTCTTTTGTATTCTGTGGTAGAAAGTCACACAGGCCGATGTGTAAATGATAACAATTACTTTTGAGCGATATGTCACTACCAAACTTACTAAATTAAATTAAACTAAATTAAATTGCGCGAGAACTGAAATGAAGTAGTTGAAGGAGATCGCAATTCTCGCGCATGCGTCGTGGAAATCTAAGGAAGTCTCGTTTCAGGCCAACAAGGAAGAATATTTTTGTTTGTTTTTTCGCACAAAAAGTATTCTCGTCGCTTGATAAACTTATAGTTGAGCCACCGTAGTCACCTGGGATATTTAAACATTTTCTTCATTGACTTTCTGGGCCGTCAAGAGCCAGTCCCTTAGGAAGCCAATGTGGTAGTGAGACAGCTCTCAAATTTAATCAAAAATATGTTAATTTGTGTTGCGAAGATGAACGAAGGTCTTACGGGGTTGGTACAGCATGGGGGTGAGTAATTAATTACTTAATTTTCATTTTTGGGTGAACGAACCCTTTAAGGCAAACATGGTTGGACAAAATTTCAGCAATTTGTCTACATTACCTGGTATTCTTTGATCAGACAGCTTGCATCTTCACCAAGGTACATGATCAGGCACTTCAGCAGGCACTCTCTTCTGACGTCTATGTCCGGACTCTACAAAATGCATTGTTTTTATTAGACCAAAACACTACTAAATTGATTGCCACAAGCAATTTTGTTCTCATGCAACCAATATCTGATCCATAACTTTTATAGTATCCTTAGTTTTTTCACGAAGGAGTCCACCTTCGCTCCTGATCACCTGGAGAAGCTGAGAGCTCTGTCTGTCCAAAGAGGCCATAAATCTTGATTGCAAAGGTAAGGTCGTGATAAGAAAAAATTCGGCATTAATCTACAAGAAAGAGAAACAGAAAAAAGTGATTTTACTTTCAGAATTAGTTGTAAAAAAAATACATAGACACACAAAGCATTAAACAACAAAAGTTATAATTAGGGCATCCAAGACATTTTCAAAAATACTACATACCAAAATTCAATTATAAAAACTATGGTAAATTCAGGATTAGTCACATTTAAAAAAAATTCATTACAAATAAATGCTTTTACCTCCTCTTGTTGAAACAGAGCTGGCCATCCAATGCACTAATGGTTCTGATGTGATATTTCTGTGAAACTATTCGCTGCTGAAATAGAACAAAACCTGTCAATCACTGTATGATTAACTTAATGAATCTATGATGTAGGCTAATTACATCGCACGTACATCTCTGGTTTGAGTGCAGATTTCAGTGAGAGAGCGCGCGCGTGCTCTGAACTAATCTTACGCGATGACTAATCTGAACAACTTTTGATTATTAGAAATTGCATTCATAAACTCAAAAGAATCGCGTGTGTTTGTTCTAATGCGCAACGCGATTATCGTATAAGAGATGCCTTTTGAGAAGACTCAACCCACCAAAATGATAGAGGGAGTAACATTACTTTGTTACACACCACAGCTGAAACCCACACGCGAATGGCGGGTGTTAATGTCAAGCCCTGATATATTATGTTTATAACACGCCCAAACATATGTTTAAAATTACTTACCAATTTTCTTGCTTCCCGTTTTCCCACGCTGAGTTCTTCCATGCGGTTTAACAAGATGGCGGAAAGCTGAACGTCTCACGCACGACCACGGCACGGATGACGTCAGAAGTCACGTGACAACGGAAACCAATATTTTTACTTTAATTTAAAGAAATCCATTTACTTTACACTAACAATACTTACTTTTAATTTAAATCAACGAAAAATTTTACATTAAACTGATGGCTAGATAGAAAATTAATTGTTTTGTGTTACATCAAGTATAAAAATTTCTTTAGAGTAATGACATGCCTTGTTCACTTTTTTCAGTGTGGGTTAAAGAGTCCGTTCCAGACATGCTACACCTATATAGATGTCAGTCGGATGTAATGGGCGGGATTTATGGTAATTGATAATGAATGTGCACACGCATTTACGAATGGTTTGAATTCACTAACACAGACACACATTTCACTATCACATCTGACATTTACGAAGTATTTGTGAATCAGGAGAAGAGTTTTCGGGAAGGTCTCTTTACGCACAAATCACTCTCATATTTACTCGTATATTTACGAATGTTTCATGAATGAGACCCATTGCATGTTCCCATTGAAAACATACGTCACGTGTATTATATTCGGAGGATATTCGGGATTTTCGGTTCGGACCCATTCGCCAGTAACAGCTGATTATCAGTGAATCCCAGTTGTCTACAACGAAAGTTTATAAAAAATATCCAATGTTAAATGATAACTAACCCCCCCCCCCCAAAAAAAAAAAAAAAAAAAAAAGATGCGAGTTCTGATGAAGAAAATTAATGTTTATAAGTCAGGCCTAGTGCCAACACGAGTGACAGAATATCCAGTGGAGCTATAAAGACTTTTATTAGCCGCCATGTTGTTCTCAGGTCAACAAGTGTTGATGGCTATGGGGCAGACGTGTTGTTTTTGGGGGTGTTCCCAGAGGGGTAAGAGTTACTGCACTAGATGGAGATAATAGTTTTGATAATATTAGAAGGTTTATCTGGATTTTGAGGTGTGCCTTAGTTAATGCTGACAATACATTAAGCACGT